GGCCTCATCCTGTAGGGACGACTAGTATCGTCTCGAGGGACTAAAACAAAGGGTTTGCAAGCCTCTCCTCTGAGCCAGTGCTCCCTTGTGCTTCGGACCACGGTAGCAGGTCATTATTTAGGCGTAAAATCCGCTTTTGTAAGCTTAACGTTTGGAGGTTTGCAGGAGCTGTTGGTATATGCGACTTTTCAGTTTGGCGGTCAGGCCCCGCCCCCCTACTACCTACCTCATGTCTATAAAGCGGCCAGCTAACCAGCCTGTACCAGCGGATACAGTTAGCATATCTCTTTCCTAGGCTGTCTGATGAGGGGCTTCCTGTGATCCTGTGCTGCCTCCAATGGCTGGATGAATTAAAGGGTTACGCTAAACACAATGACCACTTCAGGTATTTGAATTGGTCATGTTGCCTGGAGTCTGTATGTGCTGTTTTTTGCAATGAAATGCTGCACATACGAATGTTAACCTCTTTCATTATGGCAGCGTCATTGGGACATCATCTGCCAGCTTGGAAACAAAGTGTCATTATTAGAAATATGCATAGATACTTATTCATTGGCGGAGAGCAGTCAGGTGACAGCAGAAGATGGATATCATAAACTAGCACCACAGGAGAACAGGAACTCACAGATGCATATATGTTTATAAGTGTAAGTGAATTGAGCAATGAAACATCAGGCATGATCTATACACAAAAACTGCTTTATTAAAGGGACACTATTGTCACCCAAACAACTTTAGCTTAATGTAGCACTTCTGGTGTGTAGATCATGCCTCTGAAGTCTCACTGCTCAATTATTTGCCATTTAGGAGTTAAATCAGTTTTGATTCTGTTTATGCGGCCCTAGCCACACCTTCCCTGGCTGTGACTCACACTGACTGCATGAAATAAAAATGGTTTCATTTTCAATCAGATATGACTTACTTTTAAACATTTGTATTTATTGTTCTGTAAATTGAACTTTAATTACATACTGGAGGCTCCTGCGAGGTCTAGCAAGCTATTAACAGAGCAGGAGATAAGAAATTCTAAATTAAACAGAATTTGAAATAAAGGAAATGTAAACATTAGATGACTCTTTACAGGAAGTATTTAGGAAGGCTGTGTAAGTCACATGGAGAGAGGTGTGACTAGGGTTGCGTAGACAAACTTATTTACCTCCTAAAAGGCAGGTAATTTAGCAGTCGGACTGCAGGGGCATGATCTATACTTCAAAACTGCTTCATTAAGCTTAAGTTGTTTTGGTGACTATAGTATCCCTTTAAGCTAAAATTATTTTGGTTACTATATTGTACCATTAATGATAAAATATGTGTAGAGGCTGAAGTTACAAACACACACATGACTCCAACAGCCCCGCTTTTGTATGGAATTCATCAATATCCGCATTTTGTAATTAAGACTCTGAATAGGCCTAAACTGGGTCCAGAATTCTGCCGGGCCGAATTTCTTTTTTCTTCTTTATATTAGATTCTAATTTCTCCATCTTCATTCCAGATCTCATCCTGATTTAAAGCGGGTCTGTCATCAAAAATAAAATTCATGTAATCTGTTTCTATGCAGTTCCGTATCTGAATCTCACAAAACTTTATAACGGGTGGAGCTTAACCCCTTAAGGACACATGACATGTGTGACATGTCATGATTCCATTTTATTCCAGAAGTTTGGTCCTTAAGGGGTTAAAGCAAGGTTCCACAATTCATGAGTAAAATCAATCCCACAAAGGGGAGATTGCAAACATCTTGGACAGAGGAGAATAAAATGGCGGCACCCAGACACAGAAGAAAAGATAATAAATATAAATAGAGGCAAGTGCCAAGGAGGAGAAAATAATAAAATACAGGAGGCATCAGGAAAGAAAAAAACAACAGGTTTGCTTTAATTTTATCTAGCACAGTGCCCTTGTTTTAACTAACCTTATTCCTTTATTTCAACTCTCACTCATATTTACAACTTCCATCTATGCCAGCTACCTCTACCTTAATTCAAATGACTAAAAATGCTTTTGTACCAGGACCCTGTCCATTTAAAGCAATTCTGTCCTTTAAAATGTCATCACCTCTAACATTCACACCAACATTACTGTTGCTTTTAATGCTGGCTTCCCTTCTCTCATTCATGGAACATGTCAGCACCATGCTATTATGTCTGCTTTCCTTCTCATGCATACCAGCTTCATCATTTTATTTGCTGATCCTTTCATATCAGTTGCCCCTCTCTTCATGTTAGGTTCCATACATACTTTCATTAAACTCCCTTTCATTCAGTCTTATTGTGCAAGTTTCCTCCTCCTGACATTTTTTGGCCATGCCATATCCTATCACTTTTACACATCACTATTCTTCCAGTTATCTGTTCCGATCATGTCATCTACTCATTGATCCCTATTGCCCTTTAAACAATGTATTTAGGTTTTGTGGCTGACTTAGGCCAGTAAAGGCTATGTGCCCCTTCTCTGTGTAATGTATTGCCCTGTCCCATGAGTAGGTAACCTTTGGCACTCCATATATTTTGTACTACATCTCCCATAAGGCTTTTACAGCTGCAAAGCATCAGGGGAGATGTAGTTCACATCCGGTGTACCACAGGTTGCCTACCCCAACCCTGGTCATGCACTGGGCAACACAGTTATTCATGCATACACAGTCATGCATATCCTCACACACATGGACACAGACTCTCACACAGTCACATATACCATACATTCAAACCATCACACAGTCACATACACAGAATCACATGAACATCCTCACACACAGGATTATTCGCTCAAGTGAGAATTCAAAGTGAAATTCAAATTTAATATCAAAATTGCTATACTGGAAACATTTTCTGTGTGAGCTATGCCTTCAATTTGGCTACTCTGTGCTTAAATTTTAAATTCACTTAGAAATTCTTACTTTGGTAAATAACCCTGAGAGGGTCACATACACACACACATACAATCTAATGCACAATGTCACATACATAGAAACACAAAAGAAATACGCTTATGCTTTGTTTGTTTTTTACAACTACCCAAACAACCAAACCATAGCAAATTGTATTCTAGAAATTAAACATTGAAATACATCTATACCATATGATATTCCATTTTCTTTGAAATGTATAATAAAGTTTTAGTAGTTGTTAACACAATCCATCGTAGTTCTAGCACAGCCATGGCACACATTGCATTGGGGGGGTGGGGGGGAGGAAAGGGGGTCACAAACACATATGATAAAGCTAGGGGATAAGTAAACTGTCACTAAATATGAAACTTAAGCCAGTTCCCGTAACTCTGTGCGACACCTTTGCATCATTTCAGATACCAAACTTGGCTTCTCACATTTTTACTCATTTGCTAGCCGTCATTTTTCAGACCCAAGTTTCTATGGATCCATCATGCGATACCGCACAGGCACATTTTGATGACACCATTATAACCACACAAAATGCCGCTTCTATCATATGTATGCCAACTACACAGACTTTCCTGCATTCTGTTATTGTTTCTGAATCCCCAAAAAAGTATTTTTTTTTGTGGAATATTTGATTATTGACATTGCTTGCATTTTGACAATTCTGTATTCTGGTACACCTCACTGATTTTCTATATCCCTAGGCTCCTTGACCTATTCTTTGCCTGTTTTCTGATGTGTTTCACCTTACTAAAAGCTTTGTGCGATACCGGGCCCGTTAATACACTACAATTCTGATTTCTCTCATCTTATAGAGAGGTGGTTTAGACCTATGTATTGTTTGTCGGGGGTCATACACAATGCTCAGAAACATTTTTAGGTTTAAGACGTGATGATTCCCCTTTAATTTCTCAAGGATCAATACTGTTGCCACAATCTGGCCGACAAGCCCTTTGCTAGTGTGGAAAACTGTTTATGTTTAGTAATTGCTGCTCAATACGATTAAGAATTTAATAATTTATACACATGATCTTTAAATGGTGTTCGTTAGGATTTGTCCATAAGAAATCAAATTTAAATTCACCTTCAATAAATGGTTCTGTTACATTGAAATAGGAAGTGATGGACACATTATTATCAATAGCAAGGCACTACCCACAACCCTCAATTTAAACTTGTTCATGAATGGCTTGATATTAACCAGAGCACTTCTCATTAGAGAAAACCCCATTCATGAAATTGCAGAATTAACACTTCCGTACTATTGTCAATTTCATTCAACTTGGACAGCATAGATTGACTAAATCGTGCACAAAGAGAACATCTGTCCATCACTCTCAGCTAATCAGTGTCATCCAGTTTTAATGAAATTGACAGGGATGATGCAAAAATGTTAATTCTGAACTATCAATGTATAAGAGACGGGGCAGTCCTTGGGCACAGATAAAGGCCTCAGTTTTTAATCAAACCATTCCTAAACAATGGTATTATAGCACCTTAGGAACCATATCCACTACAGGAGGCTTTAATGATTATGCTTCTAAGAGTGACTCTTTATTTATCCTTGAACGCGGTTATTGAAATCTTTTTTTAAACATTTAAATTCATGGCATGTGAGTGGTTATTTTCCCCACATATTTGCATGTGCATCCAAATTGCAAAAATCCACATTTATGCAGGGTAGTGTCTAATAAGACTTTTATTTTCTCCTACCTTGATACAATGTTTGGTTAGTTTTTTTCCTTCAGTATTTTTTTTTTTTTTAAACCCATAAAAACGTTTCACAATATTTACATTTAGCCAAACATTACTGCAATACAAGACACAAAGTACTCTTCTATACAAATGGCATGAATACCGTATGGAACCCATTTAACGGTTTCAAATGCATTCATTGAACAGGCCCCAGAGTTGGGCAGTGTGCTTGGTCGGGCAATATGAATTCTTTGCTATGATGATATTTTATAGTTAAACAATGCAATACTACAGTCAGTAAGAAATTATTTATAACTAAGATATCAGAAAAACGCACATTTAATAAATTGTAATACAATTTAAGGGGGGGGAAAAAAAAAGTGTTGTGTCTTTATATTGTAAAATACTCCTATAGTCGCCCTCAAAGGCATGAATAAGTACGTTTGAAAATATTTTCAATCATCTATAATAAAATAAAATATAGCATGAAACTGAATGGAAAAACCTTAACAGCACAAGAATAAGCCTAGAAACCTTTATGTGGCTGACTCTCTCATAACAGAGCCATGTGGTAAAATTAAATCCTTTTTAAAGCCGCATTAAAGGATCAGTACAAGTCTGTTATTGTAACTCAGGGGTGCCCAAAGCGTAGATTCCCAGATGTTTTAAACCTACAGTTTCCATAATGCCATTCTAAAGGCATATGAAGGATCATTGGAGTTATAGTTCTACAACGTCTGGGATCTACCTTTTAGGAAGCCTGGTTGGAACTGGTTGGACAACTTTGGATGGATCATGGGAGTTATGCAGGTGAACACTTAGCATATTCTGAGCTTTGGGTGTAACAAGAAGCCAGGTTTTGTCTATGAACTCAAAAACTGTTTCGTTATAAACTGGGGACAGCACACACAAACCTGTTGCTACTTTCCACTACAATAAAGTGTAGTGGTTATGCTACTTAGAGTGCCCTTATTATATTAGTTCCACATTAGAATTTCAAAAAACATCTTGCAAACAGCTTACAGCCATGTAAATCTAAAAGTATGGGCAATCAGGTTTAATAGAAACATAGAAAGTGACGGCAGATAAGAACCATTTGGCCCATCTAGTCTGCCTAATTTTCTAAATAAGAAACAGATTGGGTACAGCTCACTCTGGTATACTAAAGGAGAGGGGGGTAACCCCTAGTGGAATCAAAAAGAAAGTATGAAGGTAGTATACCCGTATTGTGGTGCTAGAAACACATAGGAAGTACTATGAATAATACCAATGGGAGGCTGAACATACAAATCAAAAACAAAAAAAGAATTTATTGAGAAAGATATATTAAAAATTGTCAGAGAATTGGCAATCACCCAAAGTGTAACACACAAACTAAATAAGGTGTAAAAACCTGAAATTAATGATTAAAATGAAAGAAATAGCTTAATAGCTAAAGATTAAAACGTTTAAGTTGCACTCTATTTGTTCTCTGTTAAAGCACACGTCTGTGCTTAACAAGAGTTATGGTAAACGTAGAATATTGAAGGGGGAAGGATAAGGTACCATGGGGTGTAGGGGATATGAATCCTGTGTGTGTATAACAAAGGAACTACCTCAATAAAAGGAACCTTAATACAAGGTGTGAGAGTAACAGGCTCAATAAATAGGCATAGATTCAAAAGTAATTGTTACCAATTTGGTTACACTGTCAGTTTGCTGTATATTAAACTGCCAGTGAACCTCTGTGTAACACAGATAAATTTAGAACTGAGACATTAGCCTGTAAGGTTAAATGGAAATACATTTTATCAGTAATACTGAATAGTACAACTGAATGTTATGGTAACTAACGATTCAAATAAATAGTCAGAGTATTAGGTATAAGTTTAGATGGATGCTGGCAGGACTCTAGGTTATGAGAACGCACTGTTCTCAGGATATGTTCACAGGATAGCAAGGGGATAAAGAAGAGGCTGGTGACAATCCATAAAGAGAACAATATCACTAAATAAACTTACCATAGATAACCTCCCCGTGCCTTCAAGGGCACCTAAATCCAACCCCCCTAATAGAATGTATAGAAGGAGGAAAGCAATCCGTGAGGAGAACAATATCATTAAATAAACTGACCGTAGATAGCCTCCCCGTGCCTTCAAGGGAACCTAAATCGAACCCCCCTAGTAAAGTATTACGAAGTAGAGTGCGGCCATAGAAGATAGGTATCAATTTAATATCATAAGCTGCATGATAATTCCCTTAACGCGCGCGTTACACCCGACCAGGCTCGTCTGAGGTAGTTCCTTTGTTATACACACACAGGATTCATAACCCCTACACCCCATGGTACCTTATCCTTCCCCCTTCAATATTCTACGTTTACCATAACTCGTTAAGCACAGACGTGTGCTTTAACAGAGAACAAATAGAGTGCAACTTTAGAACGTTTTAATCTTTAGCTATTAAGCTATTTCTTTCATTTTAATCATTTATTTCAGGTTTTTACACCGTATTTACTTTGTGTGTTACACTTTGGGTGATTGCCAGTTCTGACAATTTTTAATATATCTTTCTCAATAAATTCTTTTTTGTTTTTAAATTGTATGTTCAGCCTCCCATTGGTATTATTATTCATAGTACTTCCTATGTGTTTCTAGCACCCAATACGGGTATACTACCTTCATACTTTCCTTTAAATTTTCTAAATACTTTAATTAGTCCCTAGCCTTATCTTATAGTTAGGATAGCCTTATGCCTATCCCACGCATGCTTAAACTCCTTTACTCTGTTAACCTCTACCACTTCAGCTGGAAGGCTATTCCATGCATCCACTAGACGCTCAGTAAAGGAATACTTCCTGATATTTTAAAACCTTTGTCCCTCTAATTTAAGACTATGTCCTCTTGTTGTGGTAGTTTTTCTTTTTTTAAATATAGTCCCCTCCTTTACTGTGTTGATTCCCTTTATGTATTTAAATGTTTCTATCAAAAAACAGATTACGTAAAAATAAATGTGTTTAGCAACAATTGCATGAAGATTGCTTGTATTTGGTTTAGAGCCAATAACTGCATTCATAAATTAGACTAAAAAAGGTCTAAAAACCATTTCAGCAGAAGGACTCATTTTCTAAGTTAGAGAGTAATAGGAGACAGGAAAAATAAAATGTCACGTGAATGTATAGTTTAGGTTCTTTCACACACAAATGTGACTGTAGCAAAGCTATTGCACCTATTTCCATTTATTTTGCTTTAGAGAGATTTAGAACAAAGACAAGCACACTGCAAGTATTTTTTGAGACATTTTACTGCATTTTCATTTTTTTCACTGAAGGTTGGGGGATGGCACAAAGGTAGTGTATTTGTAAATATACATTCTTAAAAGTATATTTCAAGGAAGTAGACCCGGGGGAAAAATAAATAAAATCAGATTTCAAATATTCACCCTGGCTTCACATTTTGGCTTTTGAAGGCTGTCAGAAATATCACTTCCTATTCTGAGATGAAGACAAGGGGGCGAGCAAGAAGATTTATCAGACACAGAATAGTGGTTTTCACTCGTACACTCCAATTTCTACTAAAGAACTCTGATGGTAATATAGGTTTTTCTTGAAATGTTGCTGCAAAATGGTTCCTTTGTAGAAGAAAATATTTGGATCTGTCCTCTTAACCATATGAGACTTTCAAGATAAAAGTCATTATCTATGCAAGACTGAAAAGGTCAGCTGACTGGTCCTGTGATATATAGGCAGCACATGCATATGTAATGTGTTACTGGACAAGAGCAAAGGGATAGTATCATTAACCCCTTAAGGACACATGACATGTGTGACATGTCAGGATTCCCTTTTATTCCAGAAGTTTGGTCCTTAAGGGGTTAAAGAGGAAGCTTTTAGTCATACAGATTGCTTAGAGGTTTATTCGCTACATAGCAAACGAGTGAGTTTGAGCTTGCAAACTGGAGGCCTAAAAGGCAAGTTTCAAAATCACCTACTTTGATAAACAAGAGCTGTTTTTCTCCAAAATTAAAGTTTTCTTTTCTCACCACTAATAACTGATTGGTGAATAAACACCTCGTGGGACCCATAACATGAAAAACAAACAAAATAATCAAACAATTACACATAAAAGAAAATTAAATAGAAACAAGTATATTTGACAACAGTATTTCGGCATTTTAATCAGAGCCTTCCCATCTCACTAACTATATAAAGAAACATGTACAAATGTTGAGAAAGCCCTTAAACATTTCAAGTTGCACAAAAGTGCTTTACATACGAATACTAAAAGGCTATAGAACAGCACTGGACAGTTTATAGTGTGCATGGCATGACTTGCACCCATGAACCCACGGTGACATAGTGAGCACTCTAATATTTTAAATTTGCTAAGAATGGAGACAATCTTTTCTTTGCCCTAGACACAGAAAGCAATATCTCAATGGTGTGGTTTGAAAGAAAAAGAAAAATGCATGGGGGGAAAAAGCCAAACCTCTCAAAAGGAACCACTTCAATTGGCTACCATATAACATCAGTGCAATAGAAAAGATACTTTTAAAAAAAATAAACACAAAACAAAACATTCACAATTTATACTATTACAAGAGAACTTTCTAAACAAACCCTATTTTTGGTTTGAATGATGCCAGCTTTGCCCTTGTCTCAGCCTCAAATTGGGGGGGTGGGGTGTAATCAAAAAAACGTTATGCAAGTAGTTCTGTTAACACCTGCTCCTATGCATTTGGTTGAAAAGATGTACAAAGCCTCTTTATCGCGGTGGACCCTGCCCTGCTCTCTACATTCCATATATCAAGTGTATATATTTATTACAATAATGATCCCATAGCTTTGGTCAGCCAACATAAATGTCCAAATCAAGGATGAAAACAGGACGGACTGATGACCTGAGGATTTTTCTTCTTGATCAGAAGGTAGTTGGATGTATGTTGTTACGTTATACAGACTGTAGCTGTACTCATGTAGGCTCTGAAATGCTTCAATATGGAATGTTGGAGAGTAGAGATGCTCTTCATATAAATTATATAATTTGGTTTACTAAAGCAAGTGCTGTGCTGTGCTGTAACTCAAAGGCTGAACTTGTATCCAAACAATCAATCTCTGTCAAGCAAATTGGTGATTCTCCAAACTGATGGCTGACACTTCAGATGATTTAAGGTTGATGAGCATTTTGGATAATAATGAGAAATCCAAAGCTAGGGTAGAAGCCGAGAACCAGCTAGGCTGGACACAGATTCATTGTAAACAGATGTACAGAATCCCTTTTGAAGGAAGCATTTAACCATCTTAGAACAAGGTTATTTCCCAAGCCGCTGCTCACAACCTGCGTAGCAACGGAGAGCAGAATAAAAGTCTTCATAGCAGATATTCACATGTGTCGGTATACAACTACGGAAAGAAGACATAAAAATGTACATGAAACATATGTTGTATATATCAGGAAATATATATATTGTATATGTTTAGAGGGAGCTTGCTAGAGTGGGCATATGCAACAAGGTTTCATATTAGTTCTGTTAACTATATTGAACAAGAAGAAAAATAAAATAACCCTTGATTGCAAGAGACTATGAAATGTAGAAAAGCATATGCAATACTACCAGTCACTGGTAAAACACCCTGTGAAAGCATTCCTGCAATATAATTACCTTCTGTGCCCAAGTAGACAGATGATCAGGATCCTTAGAATGCAAAGGCATACAAATCAGGACAAAGAGCAGATAACCCTGTGAGAAACCCATTTACTTTGGTCTTTTGGGAACAAAAATATAAATGTACTCTCCTTGGATGCTCAGTTCCAACCATTTGTGTAAAAAACTAGTGACTTTCATGAAGCTGAACTGGAGCAGCAATACCACAATTTATTTTTGGTAGTTACTGGTCACAAAATACAGAGTAAAGAGTAAAATGCCATTTCAATGTGGATTGATTTTAGAATTTGTTAAAAGGACACTCCAAGCACCCACACCACTTCTGCCCATTGGAGTGGTCTGGGTGCCAACTCCCACTACTCTTAACCCTGCAAGTGTAATTATTGCAGTTTTTTTTATAAATTGCAATAATTACATTGCAGGGTTAACTCCTCCTCTAGTGGCTGTCTTGTAGACAGCCACTAGAGGGCACTTCCTGCATCATAGCAAAGATTTTCATTGCTAGAGCGTCGCTGGACGTCCTCACGCTGTGTGAGGACCTCCAGCGTCGCTCAATTCCCCATAGGAAAGCACTGAAAATAATTTTCAATGCTTTCCTATGTGGAGACCTAATGCTCGTATTAGGTTTCCTCAGCCGGCGGGCGGGGTCAGTCTCGCCCACCGGCTGACGTAATTTCTAGGAGGAGCAACGCCAACCCAAAACCACCACCGAGGGACATCGGCGGGGTCTCAGGTAAGTGACCTGAAGGGGTTTTTACCCCTTCAGCAACCGGGGATGGGAAGTGGGAGGGAGAGGGGACCTGCAGTGCCAGGAAAACGGATTGTTTTCCTGGCACTGGAGTTTCCCTTTAAGTTTGACTAAGTTTAATAGCCATCTCAAAACAAAACTGCCACAAAAAAGCATATATTTATTTAAAGTATACATCACAGGCTAGTTACCAATGGTATTTTGACAGTTTTTTTTTTTTACAGTCATTTAACTGCCAATCTCTGCTAAATATTGCAGTAAAATTCAGATTTTTTTTTAACAGAAAGTTTTTTAATGTGTATTTCGTAAACCTGATTTGTGCTACTCCTGCACAAAACCTTTACTGTGTTCAGTTACATCTTCTGAATACAATACCCCTAATGTATGCCTTTGTCACTATCCTGTGAAGCTACAGGTCAGAGGGTGGACCATTTCAGGCTCAACAGTTAACATTTTGAAAGATGCATTTGCAGGGCCTAGGTCTTATTTTGTGGCATTATAGCAGATTGACAAATTACTCCACAAAGGCCTACTCGTGAATGTAAATACTCTAGGATCTCTCATATGGTGTATGAGATATCCTGGAGTGTTTCTTTTGCCTTAACATGCTGTCACTTTTTTGTTGTAAAAAAAACAGAAACAATGGCTTATGCAGTGCTCACCTCAGCCACTGCATACAGCTCATCGGTCAAGTCTGGGGGCACTAACTGTGGAAAGAACATCCATGACAGTATCAATATACCATGCGTACTTAATGAGACACTGTAGGTACTATAACCATTCCATTTTATCTCATTGAATTGTTATAGAGCCTGGAGTCCCCCATCATTGTCTCTCCATTCAGTATTGAGCGATTTTGAGCAGTTTAATACAGAATGCGGGTCCCCAGCTTTCCATAGCCCTGCACCCACTGAAGGTATGGCGTAGGAAAGATATTACACACTTCCTTGTAGCCATACGGATTCATACCAGCAATTGGACTGTGACAGGCTGCATGTGTTCAGCTGACACTCTCAGCCAATCACACTCACATTAGTGCTTCCTAGTCCGCTCATGTAGCACAGAGAATAATGGGTTGCTGGGGACATTGAAAATAGTTTAATGCTTAATGATAGGACAGTACCGGGGACTCCAGACACTATAACTACTTCAATGAGATGAAGCGGTTATGGTGACTACAGCGTCACTTCAAGCGTATAAAGGGCACCTGTCATGCCCCAAACAATGTATGCTCATGAGATTGAGCATGAGGAGATTTTATCTATACATTCAGTGTAATAGCAGTTTTGCTACAAAAATGTATAGCTTAGAAAAAAAAAAAAAAAAAAATCTATTTAAAAATAGTTTTTTTTGCCCCGCTTTCATTTAAAGCCCTTGGCGTGTCGAGGCATTGACTGACACCTCCCACAGGAAGTCGATTATGCTCTCCACCCATAGCAACCACAGTGCATGTACCGTGGTTGCTATGGAAACTCCTTAGACTGTTTATAGTGCCGGCTAGGGATAATAGGAACAGAGTAACGGGACATTACTCCTCTCCAACGTTGGTGCACTAGCTTCGTCACCAACAAAATTTGCTCTGCTTGTGGAGGAGCCTGAAGCAGTGCAAATCAAAGAAAACATCAGAAGGAGCGAAGGCGAAGCAGAGGATGGCCAGGAAGTGGGTGTTACATGAAGAGTAACACTCACAAAGCAGCGCTGGAACAGATTAAAAGTGAGTAAATCTTTATAGTTTACATTAAATACACCATGTATTTTGGGATATATGGTGTATTTAATGTATATGTGAGCGATTTCAAGTAAGTTATTTTTTCAGGTTCATTGTAAGGAAAAATAACTAGATTTTGAAAGTTAATTTTATAATCTTGCTTTTGTTTAACAAGCTATGCGTGAACGCTTCACCCTACTTACACTTGCTTCTGAAATCTATTTGAATTACCATAAAATTACATCAAGCCCCTGCACAGTCTCAGCAATTGCATCCATATATTAATTTTTCAGACTGACTGAGAGACAAGGAGAGGCCATTTTGTTGTGCATTGTTTTAGTGTTTTAGATCTTGCCCTTTTTAATTCGCATTATGTTAATGTAGATAACATGTGACTGTAGAAATAATTTAGAGAAGTACAGCTATGATGACACAGGATACTCACATGATTTCTGAAAGTCTGATGTGCCAAGGCAGAAATCCTAATGTACTGGCTACATTGCCAAATTTTAATATAAGATCCGGGTCAGGGAATTTATGTGTATCTAGAGCAGGAAAGAAATGTAGATTTGAAAATACCACTAATGATATTTAAAGGTATTCAAATGAATAAATAGCTTCTTTGACTATGTAATCAAATATATACAGTATATGAATTTGAAACATTGAAGAAAGTTAATAAGTTGTAATTAATGGCATACAGCTTAAAGTTTGTTGTAATTAATGAAAAAATTAATTAAAAAAAAAAAAAAATCACACAGCTGACAAGCTTGTTTTTTTTTAATATTCTTACTAAGCAGGGGGTGGAGGGGAACAATAATAAAAAAATAAAAAAAAAATACCTAGTCGCACCCTATCTTGCACCCAAAGACAAGAATGCCATTCAAATCTAACAATATCAGATTAACCCAAAACATCCAATGGTACTTGCACTTAATCACACATTTGGTGCAGATATCTGAGTCACCTCTAAAGAACCACCATAGAATTATAGAAGATACCAAAATGATACCGCACTCAATTTTAAAGCAAAATAGAAAAAAGGGTACTTTATTGACACAACATAGAAGTATAGGTAAGAGGGCTAATCTCTCCTATATAGACGTAAACATCTCAATTCACATAACTAGTCCACCATATATAAAGTGCAAAACATTAAAGTGCTTAGTGCCAAATCACCATAAATATATAACTCAATACACTAAAGTACAAACAAATATATATCTACACAAAGCAAATAACTGGAAAAAATGGAGGGCACACAGATGTCCATAATCTGTGCAGCAGAGTTCCTAAAGTATACTTTAAGTGTCAATGATCTGTCCCAATCCTGTATGTATGTTTGGATCCACCACCATAGTTATTCGTTATGGGACTATGCATTCAGACCACTTCAATTAGATGAGGTGGTCTGGGTAACTATAGTGTTCATTTAAATGACAACCGATGAATTTTGCTATTTTTAGGTTCAGAAAGATATTAGTGTAATGTGTACTAACCTGCTGATTTCAACACTCCCACATATACTGTAAAGGGTGGAGTGATATTTTACAGGGTAGAGAACCACCTTCTGTCACATTTCCCCAGAATTTAATGCATACATAAGATAAAGTATCCGTTCCTTTGTCTTACGTAAGCAAAGACTATCTCGCAAATCTGCTTCAGTGAGGGTAATTTGAACACACATCACCTTGACATTTCAGCCTCAACTTTTCTCACCCCCCATTAGCTGTATAAATACCCACAATCACCTATTACAAAAGAGCTATCTTCTGACTGTGTTTGCGCTTCCAGTAAATTCCAACACAATCTATAGGAGTTTTTCCATAAACATTCTATCTTCACAAATAACTTAAAATGAATAGAGTTAAGTGGTCAACGCAGCATTTTACAAGAGATTCTTGATTTATACAATTCCGCTTGTTTATGTTGTGGGACGTATTTAACATGCCCACGTCATTTTGAATTTCACTTTAGTGGAAAATATTTTGAACAATTTACTTACTTCTTAGTAAACGGTCTAAGACATGCACATCCATATCAGAAGGTTTCTTCTTCTCTTCTGCTACTAACTGGCAGAATCTTTGGGCAGCTTCTCCAATCGCAGCCTTCCCATCGTCTGCAGATAGCATCTTCAGAATAGGCAAGTGGCTAAATGCTATGGAGAGAGTGCAAATGGCATTGCAAATGTTACAGCCATGTATGAAATAGAGTAATGTATCTACTACTTTCAAACATTGTAGGGGAAATGTGGTCCTATTGGCTTGCCTTTGTCTCCTGAACGGTAAATGTGTTTACAAAGTTTTTAGTTAAAAGGTAAATGGTCAGAAAACAAAGGTTTTGATTTGTACTCAGAACTGCTGGCTCGTCTTGCTTGCAGAACTATGAGTAGTGTGGGTGATAGTTAATGGTCACGAATTCACACAACATTAGTTTTGCAGCAGCCGTACACAGAAAAAGGCTGCAAAGATAAGGAGAAAAGGAGCTCTGGGTCTACTAATGTTCTGTGCGTAGTTTGTATTTGTGGTCAGCATGCACAACATGCTGGTGGCACAGCCCTTCCTAGAGAACTTGCCTTGACAATGGGACAAAGTGAATTTTCTGTGGGCAGGCCTGCCAGTAGGTGTTGCTCCATACAAAACTATGTTTTATTAAGACACTTTTTTGATGGAGTGTTTGCTAGGATATGCCTAAGTACTGGTCACGAATGGGTTAAGGAATAGAGAATGAGATAAATTAGATTAACATTATCTTGATTTAAATAAAATACACTTTGTGAGAAGTGTTGTAGCTATAACGGGCAAGAGACCACAAAGCTAGGCCTGCTCAACCCACACCAAATACCCATGCTACTTCTGCAACAAGTTACTAAACAAAAAATAAACCCCTTGTACAAAATTTGACTTCTCAGTGGGAACAATCTTTTTCAGCCTCATGACTAGATTAATTTAATGTGAAATGGTATTAAGACTAGAAGCCAGGGAAGACTTTCAGCCACAGAGGATTACTAAATGAAGCCTAAACAGACGTCTACAAATAAGAACAAAAGCCGCCCATTGTACTGTATTGTTCACATCCAACTGGAAAAATAGTCTCACTAATTCTTTCAAGAAGAATCCAGTGTCACAAATTCCTTTTATATTTATTCATTAAACAGATACTAGTTGAGAATTTACAAAGGAACTGAACATTTTTGGCTGAAAATAGTCAAGCTTAAAAAACTGCTCTACATAGAATTTTTCTAATCACGCTATTTAAAGCTGCTGTGACCTTCCAGGATCTTTACGTATTTTGTAAAGATCCCCCACCCCCCACCCCCCCATTGTGACATCACTGCTCAGGTTTATTCATCCACCAGGAGACCACGTAAGTGCTGTACTTGTGTGTCTATGGAGAAATCGAGACTGCAGGAGCCTCCACTGATAGATATTGTCTTGCAATATGATAGACAATGCCATGTTTCCCACGCTGTTGCTAGCAGAAGCTTTGGCTGGTCAAGTTTTGCCAACTTTAGTTTTTACTATAGTAGTTTTTAAATTACATTTAATTGTAGTTTTAACATTGCAAGTAAAACATTGCTGTTTTGCAGGAACATTGTAGGGTTTAAATACCAGTGGCTTTTAGCCACTGGAAGTGATTTCACCGAAATAGCAGAGTGCTGCACGTGCACACTACCTTCCCAATGCGTACATACTGGAAAGCATTGGATTGGCTGAGAGCATCAACCTTGGTGATCTCAGCCCTGGAAGCAAGATGGCAGCACTGACAATGGCACTGCAAGGGAGAAACAGCAAGTAAAACTACGGTTTTACTCCTTATCTCCAGACCCCAAAAGGTTAACAAGGTACTACAGGGTAAGGAGAAAATGTTTCTAATCCTAAAGCCATGTTCCTTGATATTTGAATTCCACATGTAATTTCCAATTGCTTTTGAATTTAATTTGACAATTGACAGTTTACTGAATAGTCCTGATAAAGTGTTTTGTGTGTACTAAGCTGCGATAAGAGCATAACTTCAAACTAAACACTTGGCAACAGTGAAAAGGCTCATTATTGTGGCCCTATTTATTAATAGAGAATATGCATACCACTAATGTTTATGGGTTCAAAGCCCCTTTCTCATAACAGTCCATAACCACCACACTACAAGAATCTACCCTATAAAATAAATAGATGCATAGAACAGCAACTATATGAAGGTCAGTTTTGGCCAAAACTTCAGATACTGGAAGACTCACAGGTTTTTATTTTCAAGGGGCAGATAATTTATTCCTAGGGCACAAAGAGAGTCAAGTAGATGGTATTGTGCGGATGTTTAGAAGCACAGCATTAACACCAAGCCAAAACTTAGCTTCTGTTGCATTTCTTTGTGCCCCTGTGATATTTTTCCTGCTTCCTCCTACAATAATGAATTAAAATGTAATTTCTTCATACTGCTGCACTGACACATTGGGAAAAGCATCTTACACAGGCACACAATGGTCAGGAAGATTCAATCTCTACTGATTATGGTGGTGGTCAAGACAGATATCCTTAGGGCTGCTGACACTCAAAAAACTAAATTTGTTGGTGTCAGGTGCCATTTTTGGGTTTACCATCCCCTGAAAGCAGGGCTTTAGGGGCAGAGCAAGATTTTCTGGGAGCTTTAGTTAACTTACAAGCTCTCCCTTTTTAAATCTGTTAGCTGTAATACAACCCCAAGAAACATTTGCTGTGCATCCAAAAGATGTGCAAATGGTCTTAACGAACCCCCCCAAAAGAGAAAAAAGGTTGTTTAAAAACAAAAACAAGCATAATTAACTTAACACTGGACTTTCTGTTCATGGACTGACAGTTTATATGTCTAGATAGGGGTGGGGGGGCGAGGGAGGGGAATGAAAGACAAAGCAGCAAACAAAACAAAAATACATACATAGCTTAGAAACATTTTAATTTTCCAATTCCATCTTGTTAATATTTCCATCTCAGTTTGCCTGTGTTGAATAAACATACCTTTACCAGTTTTGTCTATGCTTCCATTTGCATACTCTAGTGGGTACTTGCAATACTCATGGTCCAAGAGTTTTTTCTGCTGTTTTAGTACCTCATCCATCAGCCTGGAACTATTTTGTTTGAAGATACCTTAGAGGGAAAAAAAATATAAAATTATGTTTACATGTACCGTGTTGTGTTTGCTATTAAACAGATTAAGTCTGCTAAATCAACCCAGAACCAACACATACTAGTTAAACAAGCTCATCACATGGTTATGAATGTGGAGGAATTTATGAGCAAGATCACCTTGAATTATACAAGAACTACATTTATACAGGACTAAAAAAATTAAAAAGGGGGGGGTGGAGGCAGAAAACTTTCTAAATGTCTGATTCTCGTAAAGATAGGTTTATTCGCTAAATAATTATAGTAAAAAGGAACACTCCAAATATCTTGCTTAAACACTTTGTTAGTAAGGAGCATTCTCTTTTCATTTTACAAAGTGCAGATTTCAGAAGAAACTGGTACTTTTATGAATGTACCTTCAAGGCTTACATATAACCAGTCCTGTAACTTCATGGTTACTTAGCTGAGCAGAGCTCAACTCAAGGGGCTGGCAAGTGCCCAGAGCAGCTGCTTTTTAAAGGCTTATCATTGAACTGCATTGCGAAGTAGGAGATTTGACAGCCACAGAATGTCTGGGCTGCTGAAGAAAGCTTTTAAATGCTGTAGACAATAGATCTGAAGCTTTTACAAGTAATTTTTAAATATACCCCAAATGAAATAAAAATGCATAATTAAAAGCAAGCGTGTCTGGGGATATATCTTAATAATATGTTTTGTCAGTAACTCCAAAAACAGCAAAATTGGTTTTGAAACTTACAGGAGTTTGTTATTTAGTGAATAAACCCCACAGAGCTGAAGAATACACAATAAAGATGAATGCAGCAAGTATATTATAGTCACATGCATATTATTTATAACAAAGTATTGTTTCGTTTACTGGGTACCCCTTTTAGTTAAATAAAGGGATAACTTGCCTCTAATCCAGGCTTCCCCAAACTTCGGCCCTCGAGAGGTTGCTGAACTACAACTCCCATGATTCTCAGCCTATTTCATTCATAGAATCATAGGAGTTGTAGTTCAGCAACTTCTGGAGGGGCAGAGTTTGGGGAAGCCTGCTCTAATCCAACCATGAGAGGGCACCTGGTAATAGTTTGTCTCTGCCTCTGAGACATCATTAGTACCAATAATCTCCAGACCAATGTAATGCTTTTCCACTGGAAGGCAAGGAGCTTGCAAAACATCTGGTGTACTTGCAATGCTTCCCATAGAAAGCACCAAATCCAAAGCTTCTCTCTGAGAATCACTAACGTCTACTTTGTGTTGGTGCACAAGGCAGTCAGAAGGAGAACCGTCATAGCTGTCTGAACTTTTTTAATGTGCTCATTAGTCTTTAAAAATGGCACTTCTATTAGTCTATAAAGTAAGAAAGAGGAGAAACTGTTAACTCCTAATGAACTTCAGCAAGTTTGTAGCGTTCCTTTTATGAAGCAAGTAGTGTATTAAAACTACCATATGAGTAAAGCAAATAAATATCATTTTGATATCACATTGTGTGTTTTCACTGTGCACGGTCACAGGTTCTCATTAAAGAGGGAATTCAAAGGTAATTCATATTATTTTGCTGTAACAGCAGCATGTTTGAATTAGCATTCTACCATTTAACATCATGCAGATTAGACTTTCAAGGTTTTTATAACAACCTTCTGGTTATCCGTAACATTCCTGCATTTCTCAAACTTGTTTATTTGATAAATACATTAATGACGCCAGACACATTTTAGTGAAGTGGAAATTATGTACATTTACTTATTTTGTGCATGGATATGTGAAAATTCTAGTTTGTGTTCCGTTTCGTTACTCTACATACATTAAAATCAGTAACATGCTTATATAATGTAAATTTACATGCAATACATGGTGTTATTGTTGACAAAAGATGAAGTTATTCTAGACCAGTTTCATAATATTCAATGTCTTTAAATTGGGAAATTCACACATTAGGGGCGGCACACTTTCAATAATTCCAAGTATAAGCCCCAACAGTGCAACCATGGACCCAGGGTAGTTAAGCCCTTGGTAGCATTAAAATACAAAGTAAGGGATGTGGGCACTCTAAATGGAAAAGGGACGATTTTAACCAGAATAAATGATACATCTTTAAACTGGAGGCAGGTCTACCACAAGTAGCAGATCACTAAGCTCACCAGCTGTAGCCATGCCAGATTGTCTCCTACGCCGCTCTTTATGACTCTCCATTCCATGCCCCTGCTTGTCTTACTGCTCAGTTCACTGCCACTTTTTTTTGTGGTTTCTGACCATGCACACCTCATCTGGCTATGACTGACACAGCCTGCATGAAAATAAACTGGTTTCATTTTAAAATCAGATATTAACTTGCTTTATAAGTTTGTATATCCTGGACTGTAAATTGAACTTTAATCAGATGGAGGCTATTAACAGAACAGGAGATAAAATCTAAATTAAACAAACGGAATTTGCAATAAAAGGAAGTCATTAGATCTCTCTTTACAGGATGAATTTAGGAAGGTGCTATGGTTGCATAAACAAAGTTATTTAACTCCGAAAGGGCAGAAAATTGAGCAGTGAGACTGCAGAATAGGGATAGACCGATTATCGGCCGATATTCCGGATTCTGGCAAATATCGGTATTGGCCACTATTGATACCGATATTGCCGATAATGTGAGAGGCGGCAGTGGCACAGCCCCAGCAGGGCCGGTGTGTGCATAAGTCGGAACACCAGCCGCATTAGGGAGCACTGGCTTTGGAGGCACAAGAATCGAGTGACCGGCAAGAAGGAAGCACACAGCACTCCCCCTACCAGTCACTCAAAGTAGTGTGGTCGAGTGAAACAGAGCGGACCGCGGTACAGGAGCTTCAGTTTCCTGTACTTCTCTTGTACCCACGCTACAAGAGAGGTAATGAGACACACCAGGAATACTAAGGGACAGGGAGGGGAGAGGTACACTAAAGAACAGGGAAGAGAGAGAAAAATATTCTTGAAAACAAAAAAAAAAAATCTGACTGGCATGTATATTTTGTGCATTTACCACTTTAAAAAAAAAATTGTGAAAATAAATATGTTCAGTTAACAGTAGATTTGTGTAGAAATTGTTTCTTTTTTCAAAATGGTAAATGTACAGAATATCGGTATTGGTAAGTTATCGGCATCAGTACTAAAAAAATTTAATATCAGTCGATCCCTACTGCAGAGGCATGATCTATACACTAAATCTGCTTTATTAAACCAAACTCGTTAAGGTGCTTATAGTATCACTTTAAGTAAGCTAAAGTTTTGGTGCTTCGTGTGTCCCTTCAGGAGTCCGTGAATGATGTCTGAGCATTTGTAAATCTGGATGTCAGTGAGTGTTTTCTGCATTTGGGTACTTCTGAGTATCTGTGGGTGCATTTGTAGACATGTATGTCTCTGTGCATACTGAGCAAAGGTCAAGTTCAGATCTTTAAGAACCCTGTGCAAATAAATATTGTTACCGTTGAATGCTAACCCATCCATCATTATGGTTTATTATTAAAGAACAAATTAAATTTTTATTTATTAATATTGTGAATGCTATTTCGGAAATAAATAATCACTCTCAAAGAAACTTTGCGCTCTTAAAGGGACAGTCAACCGTCCTACATACCAAAAAAAAAAAAAAAATGTATTTAAAATTGTATTACTCTTTAGTAGACAAAGAAAACATGAACCTGTTTAATTATGCATTATTTCATTGGGAGTATATTTAAACACTGCTTGCAAATAACACAGTTCTCTTGTCTGAAGCCTTTACAAACTGCCCCCAGTTCCCCAACCCAGACTTCCCAATGCAGCTCACTGAGAATTGCCTGACTCTAGAATTTAGCTCCCCTGAGCTAAACAAAGTAACAGGACTGGTATTAACAGCCACGGGGTGTAACAAGGCTAATTTATAAAAATGCAAATTTCTATTGAAAACTGCACTTTGTTATATGAAAAGAAGAGAGCACATTCTTCATACATGAAGTAATTCAAGCAAGTGTTTTATGTATTTAAAGTTAAATCTTCTTTCACAAGTGCTGATCTTTACTCCTCTATTTCTCAATGTGGTAATCATGACGTCTGATATGGAGTCTGTAGAGTTATTTTCTTTAGAAACCTAACTCTGGGCACTAGACCTGATGTCTACTAGAAACCAAGAATTCCTCTAATAGAAACCAAACATTCCAGCATTTACACATCAGTGCAAACATGTACATACTACTGGACTAGGACGTTTCTTCCAAGGTGGTCATTTAATGTTGCAGTAAAACCACAGAAAACAATTAGTTTGGGTAAGTAGTTCCTTCCCCTTCATGCAAAGTTCAACCTTTCAAAAACAACCCCCACCCCCCCAAAAAAAAACAAAAGCTAAATTTGAAGAGATTCCAATTAATGCAACAAAAGTGAAGTTAAAACATATATTGACTGTGGAACAGTCAGATTTCTTCTCTTCTCAACAAGTAGTAAATTTATATACAATTTATATGAATTTTGTATCACACAGCTATGTTACATTGCTGCCAGCCTCCCCACGTTTGTCTTAAGAGTTTATAAGTATGTAGGGGCAGCACCCCTTCCTGTCGCATCAGAGAAATTTGCCTTTTAGCTGATACCAGCAAGGTGATTTGTATATGTTATAGCCCTTCCTGTCTCATTAGAGATGTTTAACACTTTGTCTGATACCAGCAAAGTTTATTGTATGTGTAGAAGCCCTATAAAGGGTTAAATGTGAAAGTGTTTATAAAATACCCCTTCCTGTCTTACTGGAGATTCTTGGCTGATATCAGCATATCTAATGGCTAGTGTAGGAACTCACCTATTGAGGCTTGCCTTGACGTGGCAGGTGAGCTTATATATTCAAATGGCCATTGTAATAGAACTAAAGAGCCTCCATTTTGTTTAAATGTACATGGGGATTTAGGCCAGAGCGCAGGTAACGTTCTCTTTGTTTTTACTAATAAGTAAATTTAGTAATTATAGAAAGACAGTACAGTATTGCAAAACCAATGCGATGATTTCTCAAATTCATCTTCTTAACTTATCAGACAAAGAGCAAAAAGTCCTCACAATGTATCTATTCTTCATATTACTTGCATATGCCAGTGAGTCATATGGTGGGGTAGTTGCCAAGGCACAATGGTTTGAAGTAACAAAATATATTAACAGATTATTTTAAGAATAGACTAGGTAGCTCAGTTCCTAGACTTTAAATTCACACTGCTCATATGGACCTTATTAAAGAAGATACACGTAAGCACTTCACGGATATGGAGAGGTAAGCAGGGCACATGTAGATAATGAGCAGGGAAAAAATGTGAGTAAATCTTTATTTTATTAAATTTTTATTGCACTACTTAAGTATTCCTTAAAAAAAATGTACATTGGGACAGCACCTGGGGACTCCAGTAACCATAACTACTTAAATAGGATAAAGTGTTTGTGGAACGTAGAGTGGCCCTTTAACCCCTTAAGGACCAAACTTCTGGAATAAAAGGGAATCATGACATGTCACACATGTGTCCTTAAGGGGTTAAATGCCCATATGTGCAATATAATATGTTCACAGTATCTCCAACCAGGTAAGAGCATTTTTACTTTTTTTTTTTTTTTTTTTTAATAACATCTTAGGCAAAGCATGAAAGCTAGGAACACTAAAGTGGGTACATATTGTTCCAGAGCAATGTATCTATTTCACAGCTCTATAAACAAAACGAATAAAATGTCTGTGAGTAAAAACACTGTTTAGAGAAGGTAACCATTACTAATCAGTGCTTGAAACAGAAGCTCTATGAATTAGATAAAAATGATGTTGCGGGGCGTCGCCTGGGCGCCGATGAAAATGGCCGCCTAAGCGCTGTGCTCCGCTCCACGAAAGCATATAGAACGGAGCAACCCCCTACTCACCGGCACGCACTGCCACCAATGGGTCGCACAAAGAGAGGGGACCTACCCCAGACCCCCAAACCTTCCGTCTAAGGGTCGCAAACGGGGCCGATGGATGAATTCCTCCACGCGCCATGCGGCCCGGACCCCAGCTCCCCGACATCCAAAATGGCGCCGATCTAGCCAGCATCCACATGCTCCACTGCCGACACCACTACACTGGCAGACATCGGAGCAGAATTAAAGCGCATGGCAATGAGGATGGTCACAAAAGATGACCTCACCCACCTGACTCCAGGGCACCCTCATACTGGCCATGAGGCGACAGCTAGAGGACCAGGACAACCGCAGTCGTCGCAACAATATCAGGGTAAAGGGGATACCTGAATCTCCAGAGGGGGAAAACAGAGGAGATGTGATACTGACCGAACTAAGGGATATCTCACTTGCAAATGGGTCCTCCACAACACGAAAGGGTTCTAAATGCAACGATCCAGACACAATGAGAAGAGGACCCACAATGCACACACCCCGAAGAGATATCCTCAAGCCCCTACTTTGACTACGCGCAAATTACCCTTACGGTACATCCCCCCACCCGATACCAGCGACACCGAAAAGGCGCAACAAACAGGCATAGTGCTGATAACACTACAGGCACACACCAATGGCATTAGTGATGACTATATAACACCTCTACTACAGTGGACGGACGCTACAACCCCAAACGGAAATACACTTCTACACAACTGACAGATTTTACCGACGATACTCAACCCTTCTCAAGTATCAACTCTACAACTAACACCGCATATACCACACAGGCACCATAGCCTAAACGGATAAGGGCCCAGACACGCTACCCACCCCTTTCGGTGCGCACGCTTGATACTACGGAGGCAGACTGGTACACCACCGGGATAGATCTTGGGGTGCCCTCCGACCGACACCGTAGGCACACGAACTCCCTCTCCACGGAGAGGTTCACCTCCTCACATTACCACGACACGCACACCACACCTATCCTACTCTCCAACATCCAAATAAGAAACACACACCCCCATCACACGAACCAGACACGGAGCATAACATAACCGAAAGGCACTGAGCCTGAGCAGACAACTCCCCTAGACCACACAGGAGCAAATACCAACACCCCACAAACACCAACCACCTCACACGTGACCGCAGTCCAACAACCCACCCGAACGTCACTACCCCCCCCTGCGCTCCTGACCCGGCCGTCGCATCCGCCTCGAGCTAACCACCGGACGGCGCAAAGGCGCCGAACCACATCAAAACCCAGGAATTAAGCCACGGGTTCGGGCTTCCTCGGTCGACTCCAGCGTACATTAGAGGGCGGGACGCGGACGAGGGACCCCGGCACCCGACAAGACACCACCATTGCGCAGAGATACGGACAAGATGGCATACAGACCAGACCCGATGAAAATCATCACGCAAAACTGCAGGGGATTGAATCTCCCAGAACGCAGAACTAATCTCTTGAGGGAACTTCAGAGAGAGAGGGTTGCAGTAGCTCTTCTCCAAGAAACTCACTTTCGAGAAGGAGCGGCCCCGACACTCAAGAACAAACACTACCCCACTAACTACTACAGCAACCACCCTACAGCAAAAAAGGCAGGGGTCGCGATCCTTATAGCAGCTCGCCTACAATTCCAGGAACAGGATCGCCTTATAGACCACAACGGCAGATACACCTTCGTAAAGGGGAATATCGCAGGGCGATGTTACACGTTCGCGACAATATACGTCCCCAACAACAATCAATCTAGATTCCTTAAGAACACACTGAAGGCACTAAAACTTCACGGAAGGAACCTTGATCGCGGGAGGAGACTTCAATGTCACACTAGATCCTAAAGTAGACTCCTCAACGGGACACAGCAGCATCCCACAGAGAGAAATAAGAACCATACACCATACTCTGAAAACGCTACGCCTGGTAGACTGCTGGCGAACACTAAACCCACTAGACAGAGAATACACTCACTATTCCATAATACACAAAAGATACTCCAGAATAGACTTCCTACTATTGCAACAAGAAGCTCTAATAAGACTTAGGAGAGCATCCATACACGCTGCAACGTGGTCGGACCATGGACAAGTGTCGATAGACCTCGAATCTCCACTCATAAGACCGACGAGAACGACGTGGAGACTCAACGACTCCCTCTTAACCGACCTCCCACTGAGGGCCCAAGTCACCGACACTCTACAGACATATTTTACCGAGAATGAGACGGGAGACGTATCAGATATGACAATATGGGAGGCACACAAAAGGGTACTCCGGGGCAAGCTCATCCAAATCGCGTCACAACGGAAAAAAGAGGCGGGCGCACTTATGTCAACCATCCTTGGCCGGATCCGCTCCCTGGAAACACAACACAAACGCCAACAGGTGGAAGATACCTACAAAGAACTATTAGAGGAAAGAAGGAGACTACACGCACTGATACTCAAGAGACACCTGAGACAACTCCGAAGATCTAAAGGTTTCTTCTACCTCCACGCAAACAAAGGAGGCAAACTCCTCGCACAAATGCTCAGGGGACAACAACACCCCTCACAAGTCCACAAATTAAAAACAAGCGACGGCACTACTACCCAACACCTGGAGAAAATCGCCAAGGAATTTCTCACCTACTACTCCTCACTCTACAATACACACTCACAAAGTGACGAAGAAGGCAGGCGAATCAAACAAGGCTGCATGGAATGCTTCCTGAGAGAACATCTACACGACGGTGACAGCCGAAGATGCAGAAACCATCGACCGCCCGATCACCGAAGACGACATTAAGACAGGACACGCACCCGGACCCGACGGACTTACGCTGGACTATTACAAACGCTTCCAAGATATACTAGCCCCCAAACTTACAAAGGCGCTCAATGCCATCACTGAGGGACATACATTCCACGCCGAATCACTATCGGCTACAATTACAGTAATCCCAAAACCAGGTAAGGACCCGGAAACCTGCGGCAGCTACAGACCCATCTCCCTCTTAAACATGGACACAAAACTCTTCACCAAAATATTAGCCACCCGACTTAGCAACCTAATGCCAACACTCGTGCACCCTGATCAAACGGGATTTATACCGGAACGGGAGGCTCGAGATAGCACTCAGAGTTCTCGCTATACAACATTTAGCAAGACAACATGGAACACCACTCCTGCTACTCTCCACGGACGCCGAAAAGGCGTTCGACCGAGTTGACTGGGCATTCTTGAAAACGACGATACGCCTACTGGGGTTTAACGACAACATACAGAAATGGATCGGAGCGATATACAGCACCCCGACGGCAGCGGTGCGTGTTAACGGAGCCCTGACGGAGTCCTTCTCGATTCGCAACGGTACGAGGCAGGGGTGCCCCCTGTCCCCGTTATTGTACGCATTAACATTGGAACCCCTACTGGAGGCAATCCAGCGAAATATTAACATCACGGGCTACACTTGTACAACCGCCACACACAAAGTAGCCGCATACGCGGATGACATGTTGTTCTTCATTACACGTCCAAGACTCACCCTACCATGCCTAATGGAAGAATTCGAAAAATACAGACACCTCTCGGGCCTCAAACTTAACTTAAGCAAATGCGAACTGTTCAACATCACGGACCCACTGGGGGAACACAGGGATATAGCCTCGACCTTCCCGTTCCGATGGTGCCATACCCAAATGAAATACCTGGGGATATGGGTGATGGCTGACCCCAACGCCATCTACCAGAAAAACTTCCTCCCACTCCTCACACGCATTCTACAAGACCTCCGAACCTGGAATTATCCACACATCTCATGGTTCGGCCGCCTAGCGGTCATCAAAATGAATATACTACCCAGACTACTATATTTATTCCATACAATCCCAGTGGCACTACCGACGACCTTTTTCGCGACAATAAAAAACGCATTCCTGACCTATGTCTGGAGAGGATGCAGACCTAGACTAAGATATGAACTATTATGCAAGACCAGGAGTCAGGGCGGATTGGCACTCCCAGACCTACGCAAATACCACCAAGCGACAGCCCTACAGCGGATACTGGAATGGCACACTAATCCGAGATGCAAACAATGGGTGGCCTTGGACAAAGAATCATGCAGCCCATCCATTTTTGCATCCCTATGGAATCAGAAAACGCCACGGCGTCACGACCCCGGCGCAACCTCGCCGGCGAGTCACACCCTTCACATATGGTCAACAATGAGGAACGCAACGATCATCTCCCCAACACCCAGCCCGATGACCACGCTAACACATAACCAAGCAGTGGGGGGAGGACTACCGATCAAGGCCTGGGACTTCCTGGAGGGAAGGGACTTCATACCACTCCACAAAACACTAACCGCCACTGGACTGACCCCCCTGGAACGCCTAATGGAAGGCCAGCCAGCTCCCATGCACAAATTCAGATACTCCCAACTGACGCATTTCTATCACACCCTACCGAACAAACAAGAGGCACACAGAACCCTCACGTGGTTTGAGGACATCTGCGACAAACAAACACCGACTCAGAAACCAACGTCGACGCTCTACCAATACCTAATCACAGGTGAGCAGCAAGCAACTCAACGATATAAGGAAAAATGGGAAAGCATCACCGACAAAGTTTTCACCGACGCACAATGGGACAAAATTCTTATCCTCCATCACAAATCCACGATTAGCTCAAAATACCAAGAAATGAACTATAAGCTATTGACATTCTGGTACAGAACCCCAGACCTGCTCCACCGAATATTCCCCAACACCTCGGCGACCTGTTGGAGATGTGAAGCAGATATTGGAACACTAAAACATATCTGGTGGGACTGCCCCAACATTAAACCGTTTTGGAACCAGATTACGTCCCGCATCAAAGAGGTACTAGGGCACACGACGCAATTGTCAATAGACAACACCCTCCTGCATCACACTAAAGACCCGATTTCAAAATACAAACGATCCATCCTACGACACCTTCTCGACGCGGCCAAGGCTCTAATCCCTGCCCTATGGAAAATGACAAACACCCCCACAATGGAACAATGGCTAAACAGGGTAGAAGAGATCAGATTTGCAGAAGAAATGCATGCGACCCTACGAGACACCCTCACGAAACACGTTGACAAGTGGCAACCTTGGATAATATACGTGGGCGAGACGAGATGGGGGGGACGCGGTGGCTGGGGAAGGGAGTTAAGGGGGCTTCCACCCATCCCTCCCCCTAACAAGCCACACACACTACACGCAATACAACTACAACGCTCACAGGATCAACACACCGCCAACACACAACCACCCCATGAACGCAACCAATGAGGGCACAGGACGTAGCAGCATACGATACTGGCAACAACCTACCAACCCCAAAAAACAAAATCATACAGACCTCTCATTGAACCCAAGCCAACACCCCCGACTCACGCACCAATACCCAAGATAGAGCTGAACAACAGGAGACCCCCGAGCGAACCTCACACACTAACACTCCAGAAACCGAAAATCCTGATCCCGGAATCACGATAACACAAGGAACGAGGATAGCTCACCCTCCCGTGGGATCCACATCACACACACACACAACCCAACGGACTACCCAGCACATGACTAGGACACGACAAGCAGGGAAGGCGGGAGGGACAACAACATAAATGGAACAGACTTGGGAATCAACCACACAACGAACATAGATGCCACTCATACCAGCCCAAAAAAAAAAAAAAGTCCACAAAACGCCCGTGCCACTAGAGCTACCCCTACATTTTACTTACTACTTACCCACAAATACTTTACACAGATAAAAGTATATGATAGAATACAAATTTCAAACCCAACGCCTTGTAACTCCTGGAAGCCACTGACACACACACTCACATAGACACAACACATGCAAAAGATTCTCCACATAAAAAAAAACAAAAAAACAAAAAAACAAAACGACCCTGATCAGGACCTACGAGTCCATTCTATCTCTACCACACCCTCTCATGAATGATCCACATATCACCGCACCAGGTTAAGATATACCATGTTAAGACACATGTTGCCTCAATTAGTTGACTGAACACACAAAACTCAACGTAAACCTGACCGAACGACGCTTCCTAAAATGACAGTTAACGCTTCATACAGATGGGACCTAAGTATCCAAACTGAAACTAGCTTAGAGATACATGTCAAGTATATGCCATAGGACCTGCGAGTCCAACTAGTTTATGCTTCTTACGTTTAAATGTGACCTGCGTGTCACCAGTGTATACATACATGAGCAGCATTTATTCCAATGCAATAGTTCGCTTGCAAACATAATGAGACCTGCGTGTCCATACCGGAGCTTTCTCATGTCATGTTCGAAACTGAAAAATTTAAAACACCCAATAAAAATATATTTACAAAAAAAAAATAATTAAGTTAAAAATGATGTTGCTTGGAGACAAGACTCATATTTGCAGCATTCAAAAAAAATAAAAATAAAAATTATAGAAAGTCATCCACTCAATGCCTTAAGGTAATATTTCACAATTAAAAACAGGTTTTTTTCCCCCCCCCACAGCTCAGACATTAGGTATTAGCCACTCTCAATATACATGCCTTGAACTCGTATTACAAAAGATAGCAAAATAGTAACTATAAGGCAATAGAGAGTATATTGGGAAGGGAGAGAGTATAGATAGTCCTAATCTAGATAGTTAGAGCAACCTAAAGTGTCTTCGAGGGCACCCGTTACCTAAAATTATATCCTCTCTCTAATATCCCACCTTGCCCAATCATCAGTGTCAAGGAAAAATCGCCACAAAGTTATTAGAGAATAAGCCAAACTCATTAGCTGGATATCGCCGCATATAATGCTGCCGTAATAATTAGTATAGACAAGGTACAGAGGTTTTTTAACGCGCAAGCCTCTATAGATCCGAGGAAAAGTAAATCTTAGTGGAAACTAGATAAAGTATCACTGGTGGTAGCTGAGATGTCAGTTTCCGCGAACAGGTATGCGGCAATAACAGGCTGACATCCTACTGTAAATGAAAAGCTACCAGAGCCCCTGACGCACGCATTTCGCCAGTCAGCTTATCCAAGCATTTTAGGTGTATTAATTACCTATTTTACTGAAGTAATAAAAGTTTTAACTATCACGTGCTCTCACATAGATAGAACTGTGGAGATTTATTTTGTTTTTTCCTAATTAAATGTACGCAACAATCATTATAGCACACTGTAGTTATGCCACAGTTTAATACTAAACTGTTGAAGAACGTTTTGAAATAAACCAATAGTCTTCTTGGCATCCCCCAGGAAGACCCTTGGCCATTCTGATCATGGAAATAGCAGTTTTGCTTTATAAATGGAAATTTGACTCAGCATGAATGACATTGATCGTCTGAGAGTGCTAGGAACATGATAGCCTGTCAATCAATTTGGCATAGACTCTGCGAAGAATTCCTTGAAAGGGAGAGTAAGTGGGACCTCCCAATGGTCCTACTTTCCACCCACACATGTGCTGTGATTACTATGGTAACTAGTCGGTGATGCTAACACTGAGTAAGGGGTATAGGAACGCTTTGACTGACGTCACTCTGTTCACACGCCAGCATGCTTGCAACAAAGCAGGCATGTTGCTGTCATGCATGAGGTTCGCCCTGCTTGTGGTATCATCTGCAAATCAGTTAAGCCCACGGTAGAAGTTTGACTGATAACACCCATCTCTGTAAGGCATTGGAGCAGAGTGTCATGTTCCCTTTAATTCAATTTTGATCAAAGTGGCCAGGAGTAGTCAAGAGATAGATCCCCAACTGTAAAACTAAAATGAACAATAATTTGTCAAACTAAAAGCAACATGACAATCACTATAACCATAATAACCCGTTGTAGTGGTAACAATAGTGTCAAAAGTGCTCGGACACCCTTTAAACTGTTTTTCAAAAAGTGTAAGGATGGTTTGACAGCTTGCATGGGTCTCGTAGGGCTCCTGCAGGAGCTAAGACAAGTTTTCATACTGTTCTAAAACTATTTACCCCTGGCTTGGCGATTTCCTTGGAAGTGGAACTGTCACTTCCTTGATTCTGCATCCTAGTAAATTGTATTTTGGGAGTTTACAAAACAAAAAACAAGAACTTATCTCTACTGCACTTCTAAATTAAAGTGACTTGCCAATCCCATCTAACTGACAATTGTCATTATGCTCGCACCCCATGCTCTCCCACTCAGTGTTGTAGATGCTTAAGGACACAGCTCTGCCAGTATTAACTAATTCACATGCTTTGTTGGATTCTTCTTGGCACAACACATAAAAATTATAAACTTTAACACAACCTACAGCTAACTTACCTAGCCATTAGGTTGTGGTAAAATTGTAAACATGGCAGTACACACAGGATAGTAGTGGCAGTCCTATAAGAGCGGTGTATATTCCCCTTACATTGCACACTAACTCCCATCACTGCCAGCGATCAGTCACTGGCCCCATGACCTTACCCTGGGTTGCTATGGTTACCTTGGTGATCGTACACACTGACATAGGAGATGCCCACCGCCATGCACCACACCACCAGGTTGGCCACGTCCGTGTAGCTCTCGTGTTCCTCGCTGATGAGCAGCGCCATGTGCACGGGGAGCTTGGCCAGGCCGGACACGTCGCTCCTGCCGCGCTCAGAGAATGGCCGCTCGCACTGCAGGTACTGGCACTCACACGGCTGGCCGGGCTCCGAGCAGCGGCAGTGCCGGGGATGGTCGCACCGTCGGACGCAGTCTCGCCGCCCTCCCCGCCGGTACCAGAGAGCGAGCTCAGCCGGTACGAGGAGCGCGGCAGCCGCCCGCCACAGCCTCCAGTTCCAGCAGCGGAGCAGGACGAGCAGCAGGGCGCGGTGGGTATAGAGCACCGCCTGCAGGAGGCGCCAGGCCAGCGCGTACAGCACAGACATGGCCCTCAGTGACCGGCCGGCCAGCGCGGCATCCTCCTGCTCACTGACATGCTGAGCCAACCGACCGCCCGCCCGGCTCGCACAGCTCGCACCGCCTCACGCGATTGGTCACACGCTCCCGTGGCGTCACTTCCGCTCCAAGGCTGCCGAGTGACGTGTCTAACGAAGGTTGGAGCCAGAATCTAGGAAGCGGTTTCTGGAACCATAGAGAAAGACAGAGGAAAGAGAGACGTGAAGAAGGGCCGCCCCCTAGTGGTCGGAGGGGAGAATAGCAAAACGACTTCCTGTCAAGATTGGTCATTCTTCAGAGCAGCTCTGTCTCGTTTGTGTGCTTTATGAAGATATAAGATATGAAATACTTTGAATGACTGCATTAGAGTTTCATTGAATACAATTAAAATGTATCATAAGGCCAAGCCAGAGCTGAGAAAAAAAAGTGGAGCTTTTTCTATAAACTTTTGTCATTTCCCAGCAACCATGACTAATGGGAAAGGACATATTCTTGCACATCATGTTCTATATTCTGCAGGCCTCAGATTTTAGCGGGACAGTCCCAAATTTTTAGTTCTGTGCCTCCATCCCAGTGCCATTAATTTGGGCGGACCCAACCGGAAAAAAACGCAGTTGCACTGCCCTGCCTCCTTTACCCCATTCCACTGACATCCCGCCTCTTGGGATGCCAGAGATGGAAGATATGTAGTACCTCCCAATATAGGAAGGTAGACAACTCAACTCACCCGAAGATTCCGGAAGTCTTACACTTTTTCAATACAGCTCCCTGCCATCCGCAAATCATATACACCCTGTTCCAAATTATTATGCAAATTCTATTTAAGTGTCACAAAGATTAAATATTTTGTTTTTCAGTTTAACTCATGGATTGCATTGTGTCTCAGGGCTCTTTTGATTACTGAAAACAATCTCGGACACCTGTGATAATTAGATTGCCAAGTGAGCCCAATTTAAGGAAAAACTACTAAAGGAGGGTGTTCCACATTATTAAGCAGAGCACAATTTTCATGCAATATGGGAAAGAAAAAGGATCTCTCTGCTGCCGAAAAGAGTGAAATAGTTCAATGCTTTGGATGAGGTATGAAAACATTAGATATTTCACGAAAACTTGAGCGTGATCATCGCACTGTTAAGAGATTTGTGGCTGATTCAGAGCACAGACGGGTTCGTGCAGATAAAGGCACATTGAGGAAGATTTTTGCCAGATCCATGCATGCCAGATCAAGAGAGCAGCTGCTAAAATACCATTACATAGCAGCAAACAGATATTTGAAGCTGCTGGTGCCTCTGGAGTCCCACGGACATCAAGGTGTAGAGTCCTCCAGAGTCTTGCAACTGTGCATAAACCTTCTATTCGGCCACCACTAACAAATGCTCACAAGCAGAAACGGCTGCATTGGGCAGAAAAATACATGAAGACTAATTTTCAAACATTCCTGTTCACTGATGAGTGCCGTGCAACCCTGGATGGTCCAGATGGATGGAGTAGTGGATGGTTGGTGGACAGCCACCCTGTTCCAACAAGGCTGCGACGTCAGCAAGGCGGTGGTGGAGTCATGTTTTGGGCTGGAATCATGGGAAGAGAGCTGGTCGGCCCCTTTAGGGTCCCCGAAGGTGTAAAGATGACCTCTGCAAAGTATGTGGAGTTTCTGACTGACCACTTTCTTCCCTGGTACAGAAGGAAGAGCTATGCTTTCCGTAATAAAATCATCTTCATGCATGACAATGCACCATCTCATGCTGCAAAGAATACCTCTGCATCAATGGCTGCTATGGGGATAAAAGGAGAGAAAGTCATGGTGTGGCCTCCATCCTCCTCTGACCTCAATCCTATTGAGAACCTTTGGAGCATCCTCAAGCAAAAGATCTATGAGGGTGGGAGGCAGTTTACATCCAAACAGCAGCTCTGGGAGGCTATTCTGACATCTTGCAAACAAATTCAAGTAGAAACTGTCCAAAAACTTCAATGGATGCAAGACGTGTGAAGCTGCTATCAAATAAGGGGTCCTATGTTAAAATGTAACGTGACCTGTTAAAATGTTTAAAAAGTTAAAATGTTGTTATAAGTTTGATTGAAATAACTTTTGATTTCAGTAAATATGCTGCAAACACAACAAATGCCAATTTTCAGTTCTTTACAACCTATAAAGTGTTTGGAAAATTACTGTGCATAATCATTTGGAACAGTGCATTGTAAGTTTTTTATGTTTTAAAAAAATACTGTTATCATTAGGAGGTTTGTTCAATAAAATTTGAATTGTACTATTAATAGTTGATAACATGAGAATTATGCTGACTGTTATTTACATCAATTATTTAGGTAAATGAGAAAAATATAATTTGCATAATAATTTGGAACAGGGTGTACAATATCCCAGAAGTCACACATAATCCAACATACAGTGTATGTCAGATCGTGTGTGTGTGTGTGTGTGTGTGTGTGTGTGTGATTTCCGGGATATTGTATATCATTTGCACTTTATGGGTATTATTTCTTTATCACTGAGCAGGGACCCGGTCAGACACTGCAGCACTTTAAAAGCCAGATTGAGTCCACGTAGCATCAGCAGGAAGAAAGTGACAGCCGATCACTTCCTTCCAGCTTTAAACAAAATGCTGCATGGGATGGAGGAGGCAGCAGCACCAAGGAGGCAGAGAAAAGGCTGGAGTGAGCTGCTGCATGCCCACTACCATAAGCCTCAGCCAGGACCAGAACCCCAAGCAAGCCAGCTTCCTGGATACAAAGTCCTGGACACAAAGTGAGATGGGTGACTTTAATCTTCCCGATATGAACTGGAAAACCAAAATAGCTGCTTGTGCCAGGAGTACACATATTCTAAACTCCCTAATGGGATTGTCTCTAAAACAAGTCGATGATGAGCCAACTCGTAAAGATGCCATACTAAATTTGGTGTTAACAAATGCAGATTTGGTATCAGATATTACTGTAGGTGAACGTTTAGGAGTGAACAGGAGTAGTCCCAGAAGATTTTAGAAGTTAGCAAATCTTATGCCCATTCACCAGAAAGGTAGTGGGGAGGAGTCGGGCAACTCTAGGCCAATAAGCCTTACTTCAGTAGTGGGGAAAGTAATGGAAACTATGTTAAAGGATAGAATTGTTCAACATCTAAAATCACATGGATTTCAAGATCAGAGACAACATGGGTTTACTTCAGGGAGATCATGCCAAACTAACATTATTGATTTTTTTGATTGGGTTACTAAAATAATAGATCAGGTGGTGCAGTAGACTTACCTAGATTTCAGTATGGCTTTTGACACTGTTGCACTTAGAAGGCTTATCAATAAACTGCAATCTTTAAGTTTGGATTCCAATATTGTTGAATGGGTTAGGCAGTGGCTGAGTGACAGGCAATATAGGGTTGTAGTAAATAAAGTATATTCGAAGCATGGGCTTGTCACCAGTGGAGTTTCTCAGGGATCTGTAACTTGGACCCATTCTCTTTAATATATTTATTAGTGATATTGCAGAAGGTCTTGATGGTAAGGTATATCTTTTTGCTGATGATACTAAGGCAGGGGTAGGCAACCTTTTAGCAGCACTGTGCCGATATAGGATTGTGATGTCCCGTAGCCGGTCCTATTTTTTTAAACTGAGGTGTATATGCTGCCATATTCTGCTTGTGTTATTTTTACTGTAATTGCTTTGTATCGTTGTATTTGTGCGTATATGAGCTATTATATTGTATATGTTTACATAGGCGTGCGCAGCCTATTGCATTAGGGTGTGCACCCTAAAGCACAAGCACACGCCGCATATATGTATGTATGTATGTATATACATACACATATATATACACACACTGCTGTGTGTGTGTGTGTGCTGTGTGAGGGTGCTGTTAGTGTGATGTGTGTGTGACGATGCTGGTAATGTGCTATGTGGGTGAGGGTGTTTGTGTGTGTGTGCGTGCTTGTGAGGATGCTGTTAATGTACTGTGTGTGAGGGTGCTGTTTGTGTGTGCGCTTGTGAGGGTGCTGTTAATGTACTGTGTGTGAGGGTACTGGTAGTGTGCTGTGTGTGTGTTTGTTAGGGTCCTGTTTGTGTTTGTGAGGGTACTGTTAGTGTGCTGTGTGTGTGTGAGAGTGCTGTTTGTGTAATGTGTGTGTTTGTGAGGGTGCTGTATGTGTGTGTGGGTGCTGTATGTGTGTTGGTGCTGTGTATGTCTGTGGGTGCTGTATGTGTGTGGGTGCTGTGTATGTCTGTGGGTGCTGTGTATGGGTGCTGTATGTCTGTGGGTGCTGAATGTATGTGGGTGCTGTATGTGCTGTGTATGTCTGTGGGTGCTGTGTATGTCTGTGGGTGCTGTATGTGTGTGTGTGGGTGCTGTATGTGTGTGGGTGCTGTGTATGTCTGTGGGTGCTGTGTATGGGTGTGTGCTGTGTATGTCTGTGGGTGTTGTGTGGGTTTGTGGGTGCTGTATGTCTGTGGGTGCTGAATGTATGTGGGTGCTGAATGTGTGTGGGTGTTGTGTATGTCTGTGGGTGCTGTATGTGTGTGGGTGCTGTATGTGTGTGGGTGATGTGTATGTCTGTGGGTGCTGTATGTGTGTGGGTGCTGTGTATGTCTGTGGGTGCTGTATGTGTGTGGGTGCTGTATGTGTGTGGGTGCTGTATGCCTGTGGGTGCTGTGTATGTCTATGGGTGCTGTATGTCTGTGGGTTCTGTATGTCTGTGGGTTCTGTATGTCTGTGGGTGCTGAATGTGTGTGGGTGCTGTGTATGTCTGTGGGTGCTGTGTATGTCTGTGGGTGCTGTATGTGTGTGTGGGTGCTGTGTATGTTGTGGGTGCTGTGTATGTTTGTGGGTGCTGTGTATGTTTGTGGGTGCTGAATGTATGTGGGTGCTGAATGTGTGTGGGTGCTGTGTATGTCTGTGGAGTTACTGTGTATGTCTATGGGTGCTTCTGGATGTCTGTGGGTGCTGTGTATGTCTATGGGTGCTGTGTGTGTCTGTGGGTGCTGTGTGTGTGTGTGTGGGTGCTGTGTATGTGTGTGGGTGCTGTGTATGTCTATGGGTGCTGTATGTGTTTGTGGGTGCTGTGTATGTTTGTGGGTGCTGAATGTCTGTGGGTGCTGAATGTGTGTGGGTGCTGTGTATGTCTGTGGGTGCTGTGTATGTCTATGGGTGCTGTGTATGTCTATGGGTGCTGTGTATGTTTGTGGGTGCTGTGTATGTTTGTGGGTGCTGTATGTCTGTGGGTGCTGAATGTATGTTGGTGCTGAATGTGTGTGGGTGCTGTGTATGTCTGTGGGTGCTGTATGTCTGTGGGTGCTGTGTATGTCTATGGGTGCTGGATGTCTGTGGGTGCTGTGTATGTCTATGGGTGCTGTGTGTGTCTGTGGGTGCTGTGTGTGTGTGTGTGGGTGCTGTGTATGTGTGTGGGTGCTGTGTATGTCTATGGGTGCTGTATGTGTTTGTGGGTGCTGTGTATGTTTGTGGGTGCTGAATGTCTGTGGGTGCTGAATGTGTGTGGGTGCTGTGTATGTCTGTGGGTGCTGTGTATGTCTATGGGTGCCTGAATGTGTGTGTGGGTGCTGTGTATAATCCTGTGGGTGCTGTGTATGTGTGTGGGTGCTGTGTGGGTGGTGTATGTCTGTGGGTGCTGTGTATGTCTATGGGTGCTGGATGTCTGTGGGTGTTGTGTATGTCTGTGGGTGCTGTGTATGTCTGTGGGTGTTGTGTATGTCTGTGGGTGCTGTGGGTGCTGTGTATGTCTGTGGGTGCTGTATGTCTGTGGGTGCTGTATGTCTGTGGGTGCTGAATGTGTGTGGGTGCTGTGCGGGTGCTGTATGTGTGTGTGTGGTGTGTGTGTGTGCTGTGTGTGTGTGTGCTGTATGTGTGTGTGCTGTATGTGTGTGGGTGGGGGGTGGAGGTGGGGGTACATTATTTGCTATCCCCCCTCCCTTCTTACCTTTTGTAGGGAGGGGGGATAGTGCTGCTGCTTTCCCTGGTGGTCCAGTGGAGGAGGGGATCCTTGCTGCTGTGATCCCTGGTGGTCCAGTGGAGAGTGAACTCTAGCCCCCTGTGGGACTAGAGTTCACTCTCGCGAGATTTGAGCGTTGCGTGGCAACGTTCATATCTCGCGAGAGGCACCCGGCGGAGCTGCCGGCAATTGCTCCGCCGGTCCTCTCCTGCCTCCCTCCCTGCATGCGGGTCAGTGGGGAGGGAGGCTGAGAGCAGAGCCGGCGCTCGGATAGCGCCGGCTCTGCATGAGCCGACAGGGGAGATCCTGAGATCTCCCCTGCCGGTCTCAATACACATAGGCGTGCCGCGGGACTAGGGTGTGCCCAGGCACACCCAGCACACCCCGTGCGCACGCCTATGACTGCCCCCTCATTATACTGGATTTATTGCCAGTGTATCAGCCCACTGAACAGAGCCAGGTAAGACTTCACTCCATTCTGAATAGGATTTAATTTTAAGTAAAAAGTGGCACGACGGGTCCCCTTTTATGTTGCAGTTAAAGTTTCATTAAAACAGCTCTAACCTTCTGTTATACTTTAAATAAAGAACAATATGCAATTTAGCCATTTTGCAGTCCTCAAAAAAGGCAGATATTGCCTTTATCAAGTCACAAGGGGCCATCTCGCCTGATGAACTAGCAAGGCAGATCAGCCAGTTTGAATGCATGCCTGGCTCCCTGCCAATCAAGCAGGCTGGCCTACCAAGTGCAGACCACGCAGTGAGCACTGTTTCACTATCTTTGGCCCAAAACACCATGTCCATCTTTTGAAAACTACTTTCCCTATTTTCTAGGAGCTCCATATTGTTGGTGCGTCTGAGTGTATAACTGAGCTCCACAGCAATAATACTACCAGTAATGTGTCTTTAAACTAAAATAAATGTGTTTAGAAATCCATCTGTGTAAATAAGATACATTGTTCTTGTTCTAAAGTATATTTTAGTTCCATAAATTTTTATTAGTAAGTCAACAAAAATTTCTCAAAGCAGCCCTACCCATGGCCACATCCCCACTCACATACTTAAAATTAGTGTCCCTCTTTGTCCATTTGAAAGGTTGGGAGATGTGGAGTAAATAAGATCTCCTGAGAATATCATTATAGAATAACTTCATATCTCAGAACCATCAGGGATCCATGCTCTGCCTATTTCAAAATAATTGTAGTAGAAAGGTAAAATTGGATGTTAGAACATTTTAAGGAGCATTTTGACTTATTACACAATAATAATGTAGAAGCCTACAGGGGAATCAAGACACAGGACCCAAGTATATGGCACAGGTGCACCAGTTAAAACAAAAGATCATTAAATATTTTTGGGGGTTAATTTTTTTTTTTATTTTCCTTTTCTGAACAGGCTTAAAGAAACTTAAGAAACTGTTGAAGCAAGAGACGAAAACTAAAATCTGCAACTGAGCTATATATCCTATAACATGGGACTGATGGGTTTAATTAAATTATATAAATGAAACCTCCTATATTTTTGTATTTATTTCAAACACAAATGATGTAAAGATATTATAATTAGGAACCAACAATCTACTTCAACGTAGCTGTACAATGTTCCTTGGGTGGCAAACTCTGCATAATTATTTGCTCTGCTCTGACATTCAAAAAATATAATACAAAAACGTGATGAACACACAGCTACAAGCTATAACAGTAAAATGAAAGTATCTATGTAAAACCTATATATTATTGTATAGATCATTCAATGCATTTTCTTTATATATAACCAATTTCTTACCTAGGAGTTCAGAGCATATTGGTGTTGACTCCTGTGCGCAATGTGCAAATATACCTCGTCTGCACTTAATCTGCGCTGTATTACTGTATTTTACTGACAGACCCCCTGTTTCGTTAATCAAACCGTTTACCTTATTTTTCCATGTACAAGTGGTCCTCACTTTACAACCTGCCTGTTTTAGAATGGCTCGAACTTACAACCAGCTCTCTAGCGTGGGGGTTCAAGGGATTCCCCACGTTGGAGTGTTGCTCTATGTTCGGGCAGTTTTCCCCGAACATAGATAAGAGGGATTCCCTGCTCTAGTGCGTCTGTCTGGGGAAATTTACCCGAACATAGCCATATGCACCAGAACAGAGAATCCCTCTAATCTATGTTCGGGGAAATTTCCCAAAACATAGACGTCACTTACTGACCAACGGGGCCGGACTGAGGATACAATGTAGACCTGATAAAATTCTATATAAAAAAAAAAATATAGAGCTATCTATCTATCCTTGCACTTAGGCTCAACAATTATTGAATTAGCTGGGCACCAGTCCCTGAGGCACTAGTAGATAAACATAACAAACAAATTTGGGCTGCACTCAGTCTTCAAATAAAACTCAGTTTTATTGAATTTCCATATTGATCAGGAGATTGATGTTTCAGTCCCCTGCTGGGACTTTCTTCAGGATAACCCTTTTTATTACTGGTTTATGTTTTTTTTTTTTTTTGTTTTTAATTCAAAATATTGGTCCTTTTAGTGTGATTAAACTATATAGTAAAGCATACTCAGACAATCTCTCCCTGACACAAGCTCATTGGTACACAGGCTCACAGACAATCTCATTGATATTTGTAAGCTCACTAAGGCACACAAATAGACTTCCTGACAGACAATCGCAATGACAAACACGGGCGTCCGCAAGAATTTTTCTGGGAGGGGGGCATAATTGTAATGACATCCATGCTTGGCCCCTTTTTGACAGTGTCATGAAAGCGAGGAGCATAGTCATTATCACATGGTGAATAGCGTTTTCACAACTATGGTGTCAGGAATACATGTTTGTTTTCCTGACACTATAGTGTTCCTTTAACCCCTTAAGACCGCAGCCAAATGTACAAGTTGTGATCCCAAAAAAATGTAAACAAACCAGAGTTTTACAATATGTCTGTTCAACAATAATTTACCTCGTTCATGCTAAGTGCACCCACACTTATTATATATAATGTTGTTCAGGGGAAACAGAGCTTTCATTTCATATCAAAAATTCATATATGGAACTCCATTTTATATGAATAAAATCAAAAAACTTAAATTAGGAAATTTTGTTTTTCAATTTCAGCATGGCAATTTAACTGTTAATGTCAGAATACTGTTCGGTTTTCCTGCAATAAAACATACATATTTGTATTCAGAAATGTCTCACGGGTAAAACAGTATCCCCCCTCCCCCCCATGTATAGGTTTTATGGGGTTTTGGAAAGTTACAGGGTCAAATATACGGCTTGTCCATTATTTTATTTTCTACTTGGAAATTTGACAGATTGGTTTGCGTGGCCTAGGTTGCCTTTGAGACCGTATGACAGCCCAGAAATGAAAATTACCCCCATCATGGCATACCATTGGAAAAAGTAGACATCCCAGGGTGTTCAAAATGGGGTATGCCCAGTCTTTTGTAGTAGCCACTGGGGCACAAACCCTAGCCAAAGTTAGTGGGGTTTTTTTTGGGGGGGGGGTTAATTTTTTTTTTAAATCTTTTTTTCATTTTTCACATAAAATCTGTACTTTCACTCATTAATATTATAGTTAACTGCCCTGAAACACTCCTAGTTCTGATCAGTGATGTCTCACGAGCGCCATGGTACCCCCCATGTATAGGTTTTATGGGGTTTTGGAAAGTTACAGGGTCATATATACGGCTTATCCATTTATGCTTTTTTACATTGAAACTTGGCAAAGTGATTTTTCTGGGCCTAAATCGCATCTGAGCGAGCATGGCAGCCTGGGTAATAACATTTCCACAATTATGGCATACCATTTTCAAAAGTAGGCAACCCAGAGTATAATAAATGGTGCATTTTAAGATGTTTGGTCTAACCACTTTATCAGAAATGAAGGGCCCACTAAGCGGTTCTAGCTTTATTTTTGCTTTTTCACAGGACATTTCATATTCCTGATATGGGTTATTGCAACAAAGCCTCACTAGTTGTATTTAACATTGTCTCCTGAATGTAACAGTACCCCCATGTACTAGATTTTCTGTTTTTGGGGGGGAAGTCACGGGGACAAAAATATTAGATGTCCTTTTCAAACTTGGTTTGACAAAGTGATTTTCTGGGCCTATGTGGCTTTAGAGTATGACAGCCTGGGTAATAACATTTCCACCGTTATGGCATTCCATTTTCAAAAGTAGGTAACCCAGAGTATAACTGGCATAATTTGAGATGTTTGGTCTAGCCATTTTAACAGAAATGCTGGGCTCATGTAGCGATTTCTACTTCGATTTTTGTCTTTTTAATCAGATAAATTTAAATTTTCGCTAGAAATGTCAGAATCCTGATATTTGTCAGTGCAATAGAGACTTGGTATTTTGATTTAACACTGTCTTCTGAATATAACTGTACCCACATGTACCATGTTTCCAGGTTTTTATTATATCACAGGAATAGAACAGTAACCCCACATCCACTTTGATCTGAAGGCAGAGAGATCTTTGATATTACATAGAGAGTTACTGTGTGAAGAGTTTGAGATAAAAAAAAAAAAAACTAAACTATTTTTTTTAACCCTTTCAGTGCTAATCGCAGCATTAACCCTGTGATTAGTTTTTTATTGGGAAGTCACATTTCAAGTACTACAAATGTAGTATTTTAAGTTGTTTAGTGTAGCCACTTTAGAATGGCTTGCGTAAACAGGGACAGGCCAAGGTCAGGGGAATCCAGAAGTCATAGTAGTCGGTAAAACAAGCCAATGGGTCGGTACAGGCAGCTTACAAAGCGTAGTCATGACAAGCAGAGGTCAGAATTCCAGGGAAATCAAGCAAACAAACTGCCAAAGTCCCATACAGAGTGATTCAGAAGTTCAGCTCTGTATGGTAGACTTTGAAACAGTCTGTTATGCAGAGGGCGGGTAGAGATGGGCAGGTTGGGCAATAATAACTAGAGTCCGTTCGGACTCCTTTCTTGTAGCAAACACAGCACTTTCTTTGGGGAGCTTTTTTACTAGGGGTGGGTGGGATTCGGGTAGGGAAGTGTTTGCCACAAAGTCTTTGGAGATCTCCTGATTCTAAAGTGGGATTGTGGGGCTGGGTAAATAACATACGGGACAAAAGGCTTAATGTGAATTTGAGGAAAGGGCAGGGCTTACCTATGACCTCTTTTGTAAAGGCATTGAAAATTGCAATCTGGCTCACTTAGATTGCAATTTTCTTGTACCAGGTTCTAGTTTTTCAGTTCACCAGATAGGGCTGTATGCAGGGCCGGCCTTAGGGGTGTGCGAGCTGTGCGACCGCACAGGGCGCCATGGAACAGGGGGCGCCCTGTGGCCGACACAGCTCACTCATGGCCGGAGTGCAGGGGAGCTAAAAGAGGTACCTGGCTGGAGGATTAATTATTCTCCACCCGGGTCTATTTAAAAAAAAAAAAAAAAATCGCGGCAGAGGGGGCGGGGTTTACCGAGCGGCGGAGGCGGGGCTTATCGAGAGGCGGAGACGGGCTAATACCTCCCGAAGCCCCTGCTGTACAGGAAGAGGGAAAGATGCTTCCCCATCAGCCAACTGCATCCACTGGAAAGAGGTAAGTGTGTGTGTGTGACTGTTTGCCTGTTTGTGTGACTGTCTGTCTGTGTGTGTGTGTGTGACTGTCTGTCTGTGTGACTGCCTGCCTGTGTGCGTGTGACTGTCTGTGTGTGTGTGTGTGTGTGTGACTGTCTGTGTGACTGCCTGTCCTTGTGTGTGTGTGTGTGACTGTCTGTCTCTGTGTGTGTGTGTGACTGTCTCTGTGTGTGACTGCCTGCCTGTGTGTGACTGTCTGTGTGTGTGACTGTCTGTCTGTGTGACTGCCCATGTATGTGACTGCCTGTGTGTGTGACTGTCTGTCTGTGTGACTGTGTGTGAGACTGTCTGTCTGTGTGACTGTCTGTGTGTGACTGTCTGTGTGTGTGACTGTCTGTGTGTGTGACTGTCTGTCTGTGTGTGACTGCCTGTGTGTGCCTGTATGTGACTGCCTGCCTGCCTGTGTGTGTCTGTCTGTAACTGTCTGTGTGTGACTGCCTGCCTGTGTGTGTGACTTTCTATCTGTGTGACTGCCTGCCTGTGTGTGTATAACTGTCTATGTGTGTGTTACTGTGTGTCTGTCTGTGTGTGTGACTGCCTATGTGACTGTCTGTCTGTGTGTGTCGCTGTAGCTGTGCCATTGTTTGTGCCTGTGCCTGTATGTGTGACTGCCTTTAACTGAGTGTGTGTGTACATGCCTGTAACCGAGTTTAAATTTCCCCCACCCCTTCCTGTCAAGGCCGCACTTTGACTGACAGACGCTCACTCACTGACAGACGCACACTCACTGACAGACACACACTCTCATATACACTGACAAACAATGACATACACACATACACTATTACTTGGACACACACTGACAGATGCACACTCTCACTGACAGACGCAAGCACTCACTGAAAGATGCACGACTCCACTGACCGACACATACACACTGACTGACACACACTCACTGACCGACACACACTCACTGACCGACACACACACACTCACTGACTTACACACTCACTGACTTACACACTCACTGACCACACATACACACTCACTGACGACACATACACACTCACTGACTGACACATACACACTCACTGACTGACACATATACACTCACTGACCAACACACACATTCACTCACAGACACACACACATTCACTTACAGACACACACAATTACACACTTACAGACACACACACACACACACACACACACACATTCACTTCAAAATAAACACTCACAGACACACACACAGACATTTCCACTAACACTCACAAACTAATATTTTTTACATTTATTTTAAATCCACCCAGCCTCCCTGGGAAAGCTGGAGTGGATTTCTTACCAGCAGTCCAGTGTGGCTGCTGGGCAGGCAGGCAGGGGGCGCACAGGCTGAGTAAGCAGCGCTTAGTGATGCCGGGAGCCGGACTGACGTCATATTCTGGCTCCCGGCTTCATTAAGCGGCGCAGAGGAAGCTGAGCAGGAAGAGCTCAGGTGAGTATGCTCCTTCGCTGCCCGCTGCCAGCCTTGGGGGGGCTCAAAAGTGGCCAGCCGGTCAGCTCTTG